GAGGAAGAGCCCCACAGCCTGAGCACCCACCTGGCTGAGTCACATGCAGCCAGGGGCTCTAATGAGCCCCCTAAACAGAGGCAGTGGCCCCGAGTCAGGAAACGCGGGCCCTGCTCTCGGCTCTACCTTCTTTACGTGTGGTCCAGGCAAAGCTCTGGGACCTCCCGGGCTCCCTCCTGCGTGAGGCCTGGGAGGCGGCAGCCACTTCAGGCTCTTTCCAATCGCCCCCCCACCCCCCCGCCCCGCCCCGAGCCAGGCAGGAAAGGCCTGGTGACAAGGACAGGCATGCTTAACCCTGTCTCCTCTGACCTGGCAGAAAGGACACCAAGAAGGGGGAGAAGAACACAATCGTCACCTCCTACAACAGGAACTTCACAGGCCGCAATGATGCGAACCCTGAGACCCACGCCTTCGTTACGTCCCCAGAGGTGAGACTACCCAGCCCGGCGGTGGCCTGGGGCTGCCTCTGGGGCCCTGCCCCTGGCTGGTCAGGGTGCTGCGAGGGGGAACGGAGGCTGGGTTAGGGCATCTGACCCCACAGAGCTGCTGAGGGAGTGTTGGCATCGCAGAGCAAGGGGTCGTCGGGGTGCAGAGAGCCACAGGCCTCAAGCGTCCTCTCCTCGGTGCTCCCTGCCTGGCCCCTCCCGGCCCAGCAGTTATGGTCACAAGCAGGAGCTTGAAATCACTGCCTAGGACAAATGGCAGCCCTGGCTCTACCCAGTCCTGTGGGCTTGGCCAAGTCCCCCTCCTCTGTGCCCCCGGATCCTGGCAGGATTACATGAGGGGAGCTCCGTAGCATCTGCCTTCAGCCTGGGTCATGATCTCGGGGTCCTGGGATCAGGCCTCGCATCAGGCTCCCTGCACAGTGAGGAGTCTGTTTCTTCCCCTGCATGCACTCATTTTGCTCTCTCCCTCAAATAAATAAACCTAAAAAAACATTTTTTTAAAAAAGGACTACAGAGCAAGTAGAGGAAGTGCTTTGCATGGTCTAGGCCAGGAAGGCAGCCTCTTAGGAACGATGACCGAGCTACGTGCTCCGGCGCTTAGACCATTGTCAGCGCAGGGCAGTCTTTTTATTCTTCCTTTAAAACATTTTAAAGTAATCTCTACACAAATGCAGGGCTCAAACTGACAACCCCAAGGTAGAGTTACACACTCTACTGCTGAGCTAGCCAGACGCCCTGTTCCTGACTTTAAGCGAGTGCTCCAGAAATTCCTTGGTTCGCTAAAGATGAGTGAAAGAGGTGGCACCTTCCACGTCTTCAGCTGCCCGTTTTAGAAACATTTTTGTCACAGCAGCGTTTGTGTGCCGGGGCCCCAGCACATGCCCATGAGGGGAGGAGACTGCCCTGAGGAGGGCACTGAGGTCCAGCCCAGTGGCCTACACCCCCAGAGACCTTCTTGCAGCTTTGGGCTCTGTGGGGAGACTTGGGCTTCCGCTAGGGTGGGGGGTGGGAGTGGTGTCTGGTGCTGACCAGCAGCGGGCCGCCTCCGTTCCAGATTGTCACAGCCCTGGCCATCGCGGGCACCCTCAAGTTCAACCCAGAGACTGACTTCCTGACAGGCAAGGATGGCAAGAAATTCAAGCTAGAGGCTCCGGATGCAGATGAGCTTCCCCAAGTGGTGAGCAGGCGCTGCCACCCTGTGCCGTTGGCTGCTGTGGGCCTGCCTCAGCCTGGGTGCCTCGGGCCCCGCGGGTTGCCCTGTGGCTAAGACTCTCCTGTCCCTCCTGGGCAGGCAGGACGGCACCGGTGGTGAGAATGGGGCAGCTGGGTGGGGGTGGGGGGGATGTGTGTGGTCCTCCTTCTACAAGAGCCTGTCTGTGTGGGGGCTGCGGGCTCGGCACCCAGTGTGTCCCCATCCCCTCCTGCAGGAGTTTGACCCTGGGCAGGATACCTACCAGCACCCTCCCAAGGACAGCAGCGGGCAGCGAGTAGACGTGAGCCCCACCAGCCAACGCCTGCAGCTCCTGGAGCCTTTTGACAAGTGGGATGGCAAAGACCTGGAGGACCTGCAAATCCTCATCAAGGTCAGCGACGGGGGGTGGGGTGGTGGGGACAGCCCCAGCCTCTGGGCCCTGCCCTCAGCAGGAAGGGCCAGAGGCGCCCGGGCGTCCCCGGCCCAGCGTCCCCTCCTCCTCCGCCCTGTGCCAGTCTGAGCTGGATCTGGCCAGCTGTGTCCGGGGCTCTCAGCCAGCGGCTGCAGCTGCTCAGGACCACCTCCAGCGGCCACGGGCAGAGGACGCAGCACAAGCAGGGCAGGCAGGGCACGCGTGACCCAGCACGGCAGGTCTCCACGCCTCTGGCTTGGCCACACAGGCTCCAGAAGCCCCTGGGTCCTCTGTTCCCACAGTAGGGTACCAGTTGGTCTGGCCTGTGTTTGGGAGCCAGGCAGACACAGCCTTTGTGGTGTGGCCAGGGGTCTGAGACCCATGTCAGACACGAAGTTATGCTGTTTACAGAGTCTCCTGGTGGTGACAGGCAGCACTAAGCCCATAGGATAAACCCACCAGCCAGGACTGGGACACATCCTCGGGCTTGTGTCCCGCACGAGGTCTCTAGCAGGCCTTCCAGCCTCGGCATCACTGCCTGGGGGCCTTGGTCTGCAGGGAGGTCGCAGTCCTGCCCGTGTGCTGCCTGGGAGCGACCCGTCCTGGACAACTCCTCACTGAGCGGCCCAGGGCCTCTTGAGGGGCAGGGGGACAATCCTGCCTGAGCCTTGTGGTCAGTGTGGCCGCGCCAGGGCTGCGACTGTGTCCAGAACCTCTAGAGGGCTTCTCCCGTCATCTCCCCCACGCCATGCCCTGACCCCTGTCCTCTCGCCTCACCACCCAAGGTCAAAGGGAAGTGTACCACTGACCACATTTCAGCCGCCGGTCCCTGGCTCAAGTTCCGTGGGCATCTGGACAACATCTCCAATAACCTGCTCATTGGTGCCATCAACATCGAAAATGGCAAGGCCAACTCCGTGCGCAATGCTGTCACCCAGGAGTTTGGTCCTGTCCCTGACACTGCCCGCTACTATAAGGTGGGTCCCATCGGTGGGGCCAGGGTGCAGGTGCAGGGAATGGGTGCTCCCTACCCAGGAGCCCACACCAATAGCTCTGCAGTTGGAGGATGCCTTGGTGCCAAGGGGGGAGGGGGCAGTCCTGTGTCCCCCTCACCATCTACCCCTGCCCTGCGCTCTGCTCCCCCACTGGGCCTTCCTCCAGAGCCTGCCTTTGTCCTGAGCACTGGGGCGGGTAGGCCGCACCTCCCCACACCCCTTGCAGACAGGGACTGAATCTGATCACCTCTGATTTCACCAGCCCTGGGGCAGCAGGTGACCTGTGATGCCCCGGAAGCCCCAGGGAAGGCAGGCAGGGGCCCTGTGTCCTCTTCCCTCATACCCTCCCCACTTGCCTGACAGAAACACGGCATCCGGTGGGTGGTGATCGGAGATGAGAACTATGGTGAGGGCTCTAGCCGGGAGCATGCTGCGCTGGAGCCGCGCCACCTCGGGGGCCGGGCCATCATCACCAAGAGCTTTGCCAGGATCCACGGTAAGGTGGAGCCCAGGTCCCACCACCTCCGCTTCCCCTCACCAGCAGCCCAGGCACCCAGCCGGCTGGTGGCAGACTCCGGCCTGGAGCCACACGCCTGCTTTCCACCAGTCTCTGCCCCTCCTGAGTAGCATTGGGTCCAAGGCCCACAGCTTCCCAAGATGGGAACTGGCTTCCTAACTTGCATACCCAAGCAGTTGAAATCCAGGGCACGTGGTCAGAGGATTTTTCTGATCATGAATGTCCAGAAAGCCAACAGAGACCCAAACCGGCAGGCCTGTGGAGGGCTCTAGGCCGAAGGCACCCCGTTGTCGGGAGTGTAGCCAAGCCGGTCCTGATGGCTCTGCTCAGTTGTTTCCAGGTGCAGGGCCAGGGAGCCTCTCCTAGAGCCCTACCTGGGCTTAGAAAAGGAAGCGCTCTAGGCTGGTGAGGTTCCTGCGTGGAGAAGGGAGGGACTGGCCCTGCCCTCTGTGGACTCCATGTTCCCTCTGCCTTCCAGAAACCAACTTGAAGAAGCAGGGCTTGCTTCCCCTCACCTTCGCTGACCCAGCCGACTACAATAAGATTCATCCCGTGGACAAGTTGACCATCCAGGGCCTGAAAGACTTTGCTCCCGGCAAGGTCAGGGGGGTGGGGAAGGAGGGTGGGCGGAGGACAGCCACTTTGCTTCTTACCCTTACACCCACTTCTGGCCCCGCATCCTCCTCCTCCCATGAGCCTTTGTTCCAGCTGGAAGGGCCCTTAAATTCTCCAAGCCCCACTCATTAGTGCAGGCTTGGCTCTCGAAAGCCAACAGCCCACGCCTAGCAGGACCCTCTGGGCCCTGGGAGTTAATGCCACCCGAGCCCACACCTGCCCTTGATCTTGGTCGGCCTGCTGGCCCGAGGCTCACCTTTGAGCACCCCACCTTCCTGACCTTCAAGCAGATACCAGGGCCACGTTCCTAAGAGCCACTCCACCTCCCCCCACTCCCTACAGCCCCTGAAGTGCATCATCAAGCACCCCAATGGGACTCAAGAGACCATCCTCCTGAACCACACCTTCAACGAGACCCAGATAGAGTGGTTCCGCGCCGGCAGTGCTCTCAACAGGATGAAGGAACTGCAGCAGCAGTGAGATCCAGCCCAGCTCCCCTGCCCGCCTGCCTCTCGGACCCTGCAGCGGGGTCCCCAGTACAGCCCACACGTCATCAGAACTAGATCTGCCCCGATCCAGCCATGGCTTCCTGCTCAAGACAGTGGGGTCAGACCTCCTGGCCTCCCTTCCCTCAGCCGGCCGACTGACCCATGGTGGGGGGGGGGGGGGGGGGAGGGTATTCTTAAAAGAATGTTTCGGCTCCCCTGCCTTCCCGTTTTTAGTCTGTTTCAGATCTTGAGCAACTCCGTTCAGCTGTATTTATTTTTGATGAGAAGACTCCATCTAAAATTTTTCTCCCGCCTCATTTCACTGGTGGCTCAAGGATTTTAAAGAAACTTTACTCTTATGAAAAAATAAGAATCCAAACTCAGTGACTGTCCCCGTGTGAGAGTGGTGGTGTCCATACTTGGTACTGCCTCCAGGGCTCAGGGTGGGTTTTTGTAGCAGTCAGCAGACACTCCCGCTGGACCTGCCACTGCAGTGAAGGGCAAGTGACACAGTGGCCTGCCCACAGGGCAGCCTCCCCTCCCCGCACCCCAACATCTGCACAGCTTCCCTCACGTTCCAGGAGGTAGGGTCCAAGATGAATTGGATCCTGCCCTGCCCTGGGCACAGGGTCAGCCCCCTAGACACCCGAGCAGGGCACAGACCCAAGGCCACAGCCTGTCCAGGCTGTGCACGGTCCCCTGGCCCACGGCACCGGGTGGCGGGGGGCACTTTCAGCTGCTCCTGGAGTGACGTCCGCACCCTGGTGCCCATGCGAGCTGAGGAGGCCAAGGAAGGAGGTGCACTCCATGGAGGGCACACGATTTGCCTGATAAGAAATCCGGCGTCTGGTGGGCGCTAGAGAGCAAGCCTGCCCACCGGTTCTGCAGGAGTGAAGCAGCAGGAGGAATCTGGAAAGCCATTCTGCTGAATAAACAATGCAGTGTTTGCCCTCGCTGGGGACCTGGCGTCACCAGCAGACCCTGAGTGTTCCTGGCGTGGCCAAGGTCTGAAAGTGACAGCTGTACAGCTGGTCACCAGTCCTGACCTTGTGCCAGCTAAGCTGACAGCCTCCACTTGGCTAGATGGCGCTGGCTGGGCTGAGTCCAGGCCCCCACCTTCCAAACACCAGTGGGGAGGAGAGGTGACAGGAGCTATAGCTACCCTAGGCTGGCCTCTCGCTCTTATTTTAGGGAGCCACCAAACTTAGCCCAGAGCCCAGCCTGAGACCGACAATGTCAACCCCCACATCCCACCAGAGGGGAGGTCATCTCCAGAAGTGGCCCGGGGAGAGGAGGACATGCTGTCTCAGCTGTGGCAACTTGGGGACCTTACATCACTGGTTCCTCCCTGACGTGGCCTTGATTTATTAAATGTCTCTGGCAGAGGTCCACAGGGACAGTGGGGCCTCGAGGGAAGCTGGAGCAGGGCCAGGATGGCAAGGCACACACTCTGCAGAGCTGGTGTCTTCAAGGCCAGTGGCACCACCTCCCCAGGGGCTGGGCTGGGGTCTGCAGGACTGGGCAAGGTCCGCCGTTGAGCCCCCGTGCTAGCTGCTGGTCCACCAGGATAGAAGGCCCAGGCCTGGCTCACTGATGGATCCCTGCCGGGGGTAGAGAAAAAACAGGCACGTTGCGTCTACCTTCGGGCCTCCAGCAAACTCAGGAGGGAGGGGGGCCACCCTCCTGGGTGCCTTGCATGGGCCAAGGGAGTAGCAAGGCAAGCTCACGCCAGCCACAAGGACCTGGGGAGATCCAGGAGCCATGCAGCACCCAGCTGGCCACATGGGAACACAGCCCGGACTCCCCTCTCCGGCCCCAGCAAGGTCAGGTATCCTTCCGCAGCCCCAGGCCTGCCCAAACACGGGCACCAGCAGGCCGGTCCTGGGCATGCTCCAATAAAGGCTCCAGAAAGGCCCAGCAACCCTGAGCCCCAGCCTCCAAACACAGAGATGACCTCGGCCACCCAAATTTTTGACAGACAACCTGCAGCACGTTATACCCACAAACCCTACTAGCAGGCCCTGGAGATGCATCCTACTTTGTCACACGCCACTGTCTGACTTCGTGAGGGCAGACACCAGGCTGGTCACAGCTCTGCGGCCACCCCATGCCCACGGGGGCTCGGGTTCGGGAGCAGCCCCCACGGAGGGTCACCGGCCTCTGAACCCCCTCCCCAGCCCCTGCCTTGCTCTCTCCCTCAGCGCCTTGTCAGCTTACCCCCCCACGAGCCTCAGGCCATGGCCAACGGGACAGGCTCCCCCGGGAGAGTGACCACCTAAGACACACCCACGGGGACAGGGGTTCCAGGCGGGGAACCCCAAGTCAACACCCTAGGAAGTGGCTCCCGCCGCCCGGTTCCCCGCCACGCGGCGTCCGCACAGCTCACCACAAGTGTGTACGGAGCCTCCTTCTTTGGCAGCTCCTCACTGGAAGACGTGGCTTCGGCCGAGCTGGGTCCTGTGGGGGATGTGTCCACAAAGCTCTCATCCACCACCCGGAAGCGGATCTCCTCACCCGTGTCCATGTACAAGTCGTGTGCTCCCTCCTCCGTCTCGTACTCCCACACCCACACCTGTTCCGCCTCGTCGCTGGGCGCAGCGCGGGTCAAGGCAACAACGGGGGCAAGGAGCCCACAGGAAAACCCAATTCTAGGGGGAGAGCTCCTTGGCTGGGGTGTCAAGGAGAAGCAAGGCCGGGCAAGGTGTGGGCTGCCACCAGAGCAGGAAGGAGGCTCAGGCGCAGAGCGAGCCTCGCCTCCCGGGGCCCTTTCCCTGCGGGTCGGACTCGGGCCAACTGCCACGTTCGGGCGTCTGCTCCACAAGCAGGGACCAGGCCAGGCCCGCCGTCTGTGCTTCAGGGTGCTGCATGCAGAACGGGGCGGTAGCAAGGCCTGGCTGCCTGGCCTGGCCTCGCGGGGCTGTGGCGAGGAGGGGACATGGCCACACACACGAGAAGTGCTTTCCACCGGCGGCAGCCAGCCCTGCAGTGCTAGCCAAAGCCACCCCGTGTTCTCTCACAGTGCGACCCCACAGTCCTTTCCAGCCCTGCCCTGTGACAACGACCAGCACAAGGACCTTCCTGGGTTTCAGAAGGACAGACATGGCAAATGGAAGGTCACCGGCCCAAGGGCCCGCAGCCAGCAGGAGGTCCAGCCAGGCAGGGCCAGGTTTTCTGACGAGCCCCGGAGTCCCGCACAGACCCTGCCCCTAGTCCGCCGCACACACATACGGGCCCAGCTGCGGTGGCCTCGAGAGCCGGTGAGGGCAGCGCCCTGCAAACCCCTGCAAAGCCCCAGCCCCTCGCTCAGCCCACGCAGAGCAGCCAGCGCGCCCCCTAGTGGCGGCCCCACGTGCCAGGTCCCCTGCTGGGCACTGTGGGCACTGTGGGCACTGTGGGCACAGTCCTGACAAGACAGGGTCCCTTCTGGTGAGCAGTCTCAGGGAGGACCCCAGAAACAGCCCCAGTGCAACAGGGCAAGGGCCGGCGTGGGGCAAAGGGGGAACCCAGCAGAGGGAAACAGCCCAGCCCAGCATCAGGCGCAGTCAAGCCCTCAAACGCCAGCCAACGGTACTGTTTGCACAGCAGGGAAGTAGGGAGGTGAGCCCCACAGGGCAAACCTCTCCAGGGTGAGGATTCTGGAGTGATCCCTGAGAGGACAACCTAAGCAAAGTGAACAGAGCACCACCTACACGCCCAGGCACGTGGACACCACGGTCAGCATGGGAAGCACGGGCAGGTCAGCACTTCCAGGGCACAAGTGCGGGCTGGGCAGTGGGCACGGAGGTCAGCAGTACCGGCCCACAGGAGCCAGGGTCACCCAAAGGAGCAGAGATTGTCCTTTGGAAAGACCTGAGCTCCCCTGTGCCCCACTTTAACCTTGGGAGGATACAACTTGGCTGGCTGCTGCAGAGACTCGGGGGGGATGAGAATGTCATCGAAGAACCCTAGAGAGACTGGAACAAATGAAGAAAGTGACAGCATGGGACATGGCAGTTGTTGCCATGGAAATGGGAACCCCCTCCACACACACACACCTCAGATCCCTGTGCCTCTACCTAGGCCATTTAGCCACCAAAACTTATGCTGGACACCATGCAAAATAGGGTCTGGTGAGCACCTGGGCCCGAGGCCCTCTGTCTTGAGCAAGGCCTCACGGGGAAGCCCCCCAGCTGTTACGTGAACACGAGGGGGCTGCGTATCCTCCACACATGAGCTTCCCTGACAGCACAGCGTCTGAATCTGACCCCCCGCCCCCGACCATGTGGCCCAGCACAGAAGCTGAAGGGAGGCCTAGGCTGGGCCCCTTGCCCCGAGTGCTCCCAGGCCTCGTTACCGTGTACTCCCTCCGGGCTGCAGCCTTTGATCCTGCCGATCAGAATCTCATCCAGGAACGGATGGAACACCACATAGCGAAAATGGACTGGAAGTGAAGGAAGAGTGTCAGTGACGAGCAGGCACATGAGCCATGGCCCAGGCTTCCCAGGGCCGACCCCACTGGCTGGCCCACTGACCTGGACGCCCTGCAGCTACCCCAGAGTCTGCTGGGCACTCCACACCCCGTACCCCTGTGGGTCCAGACCTGCCAGCTGAGCTAGGGGGACCCACACCTCGTCCCCCGCAAGGCCACAGCACAGCCCCCATAACAGGCCAGCAGCAGCGGCCCTGGACCCAAGCAAGGGCTGGCCCCCAAACCCAGCAGACAAGTCACTCCTGAACCCAGACTCTGGGCCGCAGATGACTCCATAGTCCACTCCCACTCTTCCTCTAGACTTAATCCCTTAAATTCTAAAATGGGCAGAAGCAACTGGCAAAGGGAGCCAGGTTTGGAAACAAGTTCTCCGTCTCCCTCTGATGGGAGTTTGCCCCAGGCATAGCTCTGACCTGGAACAGGATGCTAAAAGTGCCCTGAGATTCAGGGGGGCCACGGGGAGGCAGACGCAAGCACCCAACAAAAATTCCTCTGTGGGTTCTCAGGCCCTGCCCTAGGTGGTCGTGGTCACCACACTCCCGGGAAAGTATCAGGTAAGGTCTGTGCCCACATCACAGCCTGATCCCCAGGCCCGGCAGGAGCCATTACCTCATCACTCCTGCCCTTCGAGCCCCAAAGGGGTGAGCAGCATGGACCCCAACACCGCCAGAGCTAGCGAGCACACGAGGCTACTTCCTGCCAGTCACGCAGTGCCCATCGCTACCCACCCACACCAGGGGTCAAGGCTTCCCCGCTGTGACGATGGGGAAGCGGTTCAGACGGCTGCGCAGGCGGCTCAGCCACACGCCCTTCCACCCTGTTCTGCCGTGGGAAGACCCCGAGACTTTCAGGACCAGCAAACGGCCAGAGTGGAATGTGCCTTCCTCTGGCAGCTTCCATCCCGAACACGGGCTGCGACTACTAGCCTACCCCGCCGACGCTGCCCAGGGCCAGTAGGGCCCGGCGGCCCCGGCTCCCTCCAGGCTGCTTCTGCGCAGCCCCACCAGGCAGGATGCCCGAGGAAAGCAGAGGGGGCAGGTGGTACCCCCTCCCTCCCTGTGACGAGCGCGCCATGCTGACCTTGCAGAGAGCAGATGAGGGCAGCCAGCGGTCACAAGTCCACAGGATGGAAAAACCCTGTCCCCCATGTGACCCAACGTTCGGCTCAGCTTAGCAAATCCCCACAGAGCCTCCCACCAAGTGTGTGCCAAGGCCGGTTTGGGCACTGGGCTTATGGGGGCAGAATGGCAGGTGGTCTCGTGCCCAGGGAGCTCGAGTCTGGAACAGCCACAGCCGAAGGCACATGGTGGCCAATCCAAGCACCCACCAACAGGTGAGCGGATGAACGTCACGCAGTCTATCTGTATAATGGAATATTACTCGGTATTAAAAAGGGAGTACAGACACATGGAATGACACGGATGAACCTCAAGGATGCTATGCTACGTGAAATAAGCCAGTTACAGAAGACCGCATACTGTGCGATTCCATTTATCCAAAATGTCCAGATTAGGCGAATCCAGACACAGAGGGTAGATCAGTGGTTGCCAGCGGCTGGAGGAGGGGGAATGAGGAGTGACTGATAGGTGCGTGGTTTCTTTTTGAGGTGGGGAAAATGTTCTGGAATTAGATCATGGTGACGGTTGCACAGCTCTATGAATATCCTAAGAGCTACTGAATCGTAAGCTTTACAAGGGTGAATTTTGTGGCATGTAAATTAGATCTCAATTAAAAACAAAAAGGAGGCCACAGCCCAGCGGGAGGGCCAGCCGGGGCAGTGCTGTATTTGGAGCCATCTCCCAAGAGGCCCACCTAAAGTTCCAGGGTGTTTCATGGGCAGACGGGAAGCCTGGAAAGCCAGAACGGGTGGGTCTGCAGGGTCAGCAAGAGGAAGACCTTGTCCCAGGAGAAGCAGGTCTGCCTGGGGACGTGGTGAGTTTGTGCTAAGGGCAGACACTGTCCCCCCTTACGTGCAGTAACCCGGAGAAAAATTCACAGACACAGAAAGTACAACGGTGAGGGTGCCTGGTGGCTCAAGGGTTGAGTATCTGCCTTTGGCTCAGACTGTGATCCCAAGATCCTGGGATCGAGTCCTGCATTGGGCCCCTCACAGGGAGCCTGCTTCCCCCTCTACCTGTGTCTCTGCCTCTCTGTGTGTGACTCTCATGAATAAATAAATAAAATCTGGGATGCCTGGGTGGCTCAGCGGTTGAGCACCTGCCCCTGGCTCAGGGCGTGATCCTGCAGTTTCAGGATTGAGTCCCACATCAGGCTCCCTGCCTGGAGACTGCTTCTCCCTCTGCCTACACCTCAGCCTTTCTCTCTGTGTCTTTCATGAATACATAAATAAAGTCTTTAAAAAATAAATAAATAAATAAATAAATAAATAAACAAACAAACAAACAAATAAATAAAATAAAATAAAATAAAATAAAATAAAATCTAAAAAAAAAAATACAATAGTGGACTCCAGGGCCCTGGAGAGGGGTGGAATGAAGGCAGAATGCTTAAGAGGGACAGAGTGTGAGTCTGGAAGGACTGAAAGGTTGGTGGTGATTCCACAACGATGCCTGTACACGATGCCACTGAGCTGTGCACTAAAAATAGTTAAAATGGTAAATTTTACGTTATACCTATCGTAGCACAACTTAGGGGAAAAAACAATGGAACAAAGCAAATGGCGGGCACGACACCAGTCCCAGCTCAGAGCAAGGCAGGGGTGGCAGGGCCAGTCAAGAGGGGCTCCCCTGGGGGAGGCCAGGTCTGGCCAGCCTCGGGAGCATGGGGCACATGGCACTGGCACCTGTTACAGTGACAAGAGATGAGGCTGAACGGGGCTCGGTGTTACAAGTCACAAAGGCGCACTTTGTGGAGACACTTGCTGAGACAAGTGATGCAATCTGGCCCTGGCGGGGAGGGGGGGGGGGGTTGGAAGTACAAGGCAATAAGCAAAAGAAGAGTCCTCAAGCCAAAAGTGGAGGCAGGTATGGAAAGGCCCTGCTCTGCACACCCTGGCCACAGCCCTGGGTGAGGCAGTGGAGGGGGTGGCGGCCGGAATGGGCCGGGGAGGAGGGTCAGCCTCGACACGTGGTGATCCCCACATGACACATGCTATGATCCCCACAACATAGCACCACCCCATGCGGTGCTCTGTGGCCCAGGCTGGGCTTCACAGCTGCACGTGGTGACCCCATTTTACAGATAAGGAACCCGAGACCGAGAGAGGCAAGTTACCTGCTCAAGGTCCACACGGGAGGGGGGGAGGAGGCGGCGGGGGGGGGGGGGGGAAGCAGAATTAAATCCAGGACCATGTGACCTGTCCTAATCCTCACACCCGTTCCCAAGGACACAGGGGGCCCAGGGTGAACTAGGGTTGGGGGACAGTGAAAATCTTACACCAAGTGGCAGAAACAACCAAATGAAAGAACAGAACTTCAATTTTAACTTTTCCCTCCCAGTTTTCCTTGAAGTTCCGGCACCTCTTACCACTCGTCTCCAGAACACCACCTAAAGGCAGAGACTGGGCTTGGCTGGAGTGCGTCCTTCTCTGTAAAGAGGGCCTGTGGTCTTATTTTCACATCACCATTTTATTTTTCTGCTAAATGCTCCGAGCGCGTGCCAATCCAGCCTGTTTCCTAGGGCTGCCCGCAGAGCTTGGCGATGTCTCCATGGACTCGAGTGTCGGGATTCCTGGACACAGACACCAGGCAGCCTCATGGCGCGTTCTGGAATGCTCCACATCTCTGTGCCCAGAGGCTGACCGAGACGGGGCTCCTCACACTTCCTCATGCGAGCAGCACCCAGCTCCTCATTCTAATGTGTGCGGGCTCACCTCCAGAGGTTGGGATTCACAGGCCTGAGCGCCAAGCTGATGGCCAGCTGCAGGCCTACACTCTGGTTAGTCCCGAACCACCTCAGGGGCCCCCTTGCCCTCTGCTTCTGATGTGGCTGGGTCCTGGGAGGAGAGGGAAGGATCCCCACTCCCTCCCTGAGAACTCTAGCCAAGGTGACACCCTCCCTACACGTCCAGGTCTTGTAACCAACCTTCCCTTCCAGGAGCACACCCCTTTGCTGTGACTGCAGCACCTCCTATCGAGGTGGAATCTATTTTTCCTTCCCTCACCACCAGCCTCAGCCAGGAGTCCTGCTCTGGCCAATGGGATTTAGGCAGAGGCTTGAAAAGCTGCTCCTACAGGGGCTCGGCTGCACCATGGTGCCTTGATCTCCGGGAAGGAAAGATGAGACCACGTGCAGCAGAGAGGAGCCACCCTCGTGCCCACCCCCGACCAACCAGTCTGCCAACCACCAGACACAGGAGGCCACCCTACCCCACCCAGCCCTGGACAGGCCAGCCCGGAAGAACTCATTTAGCAGATCCCAGAATCAGGAGAAATAGTTCAAATCAATGAGTCACTGAGCCCCACGTGCCAAGGTCCCATCCAAAGACCTTTGCACATATTGATTTATTATTCTCACAACATCCTGTGATATAAAATCTACTGTTAACTACATCTCACAGCAAGGAAACAGGCACGGAGTGGTTAGTCTCACAGCACGTAATCGGCAGAGCTGGGACTGGAATCCAGGGGCTACACGTACTCATTATGTCCCAGGGCCCCTTAAAGTCCCCTCCCTCCAACCTGCCTCCTCCCCAAGACAGATCCACTCCCCTCTGCTCTCCACACTTTTATTTTTTTTTTAAGATTTTATTTTTAAGTAATCCCTACACCCAACGTGGGTCTTGAACTCACAACCCTAAGATCAAGAGTCACACGCTGTACCAAATGAGCAAGCCAGGTGCCCCTGCTCCCCACTTTTAACCCAACACTGACCATGCCAGTGCCACCCGACACCTGTCTGGCCACCCCCCCAACCAGAACTGAGCAGCCTGAGGACCAGGAAGAGCAGAGCTCGGTAATAAGCGAGACCACAGGGGGCACAGACTCGGAGCCACAATCTCAGAGCCAGAGAGGCCTCCAGAATGGTCTTGTGCAGGGCCTCTGGGAGGCTCAGTTAGTTAAGTGATGGACTCTTAGCCCAGCTCAGGTCTTGATCTCAGGGTCATGAGATCAGTCTCTCACTCTCTCAAATAAACCAATAAATCCTTAAAAAAGAAAAAGAAAAGGCAGCCCAGCTGGCTCAGCGATTTGACGCCTGCCTTCGGCCCAGGGCGTGATCCTGGGGTCCCGGGATCAAGTCCCACATCAGGCTCCCTGCATGGCCTGCTTCTCCCTCTGCCTGTGTCTCTGCCTCTCTCTCTCTCTCTCTCTCTCTCTCTGTCTCTCATGAATAAATAAATAAAATCTTTAAAAAAAAAAAAAAAAGAAAAGAAAAAGAATCACCTTGTCCATCATTTCTTATAGACAAGGAAACTGAGGCCCAGACGGGAAGATTCTGTTCACTGTCACACAGTCCATTGCTGGCAGAGTCAGGACTAGGCCTCGGGTCTCCCAATCCCTAGACCAGGATTCCCACAACCAAAAATCCCAAGGAGGAAAAAGCACCTACCTTTGGTGTGCGATGCGCCATCCCCTGGGAACACATAGGCGTCCTCCAGCCTGGTGATGTCGAACAGACAGATGCAGAGCCCCACACTGTACACGACCTATGGGCATCGATGTACGTACATATATACGTACAAATGCACGGGCACACAGAGGACACAGAGGCCCAGCTCCCCAGCATTCTCTCCTGAGACCCTCACCACTCGGGGCAGCTAGAAACGAGTCGGGGCACCGTCTGAGGTATCCAAGGGTAAGGAGTCTCCAAAGGATGCGGCACTCTGGAAGGAGGAGGGCCTTTGTGACAAGACAGATCCAGGTTACAGCGCCAGTTCCACCACCCACTATGTGACCTCCAAGGTCACTTCTCTGAGCCTCAGTTTCCCCCATCTGCAAAAATGGACCAACCAGGCTGCAGGTGTGTTAAATAACAAGAAGTAATGGATGTGACACCCATGCCAGCATCTGGCTCACATGCTGGAAGTAGTAACAGTCAGTCAACACAGATCACTATTATTACCAGGAAGGATCACTGGCAGGGAAACCCTAAACCTACACTCACCAAAGTCTCCGGCTCTTGCTGGAGCTCATGGCTCAGTGAGTGTCAGAGTCCGGGCTAAACCCCACCTGCTGGGATCCCTGGGTGGCGCAGCGGTTTGGCGCCTGCCTTTGGCCCAGGGCGCGATCCTGGAGACCCGGGATCGAGTCCCACGTCGGGCTCCCGGTGCATGGAGCCTGCTTCTTCCTCTGCCTATGTCTCTGCCTCTCTCTCTCTCTCTCTCTCTCTCTCTCTCTCTCTCTCTCTCTGTGTGTGTGTGTGTGACTATCATAAATAAATACATAAATAAATTTAAAAAAATAAAAAATAAAAAAATAAACCCCACCTGCTCACAAAGTATCAGGCACACAGCTGTGGCCACAGGGACTGAGGGTGGCAGAGGGACACGTGCCCGAGGCTCTGAGACTAGACACAGGGCATCTCATACCCCATGCCCACCGTGCCCCAAATCACCAGCCTGCTTACCTGCCACCAGTGTCATCACCTCCCAATATAGACCCTGCAGGACTGTTCAAGGATTAGCAAGAAGCTAAGAAGAGAACTCCAAGTCTGGGCCGGACCTCACCACAATGAGCCACAGAGCCTGGCTGCCTTGCACAAGACCTGTGCCCTTGGGAGGCCTGGATGGCTCAGCGGTTGAGAATCTGCCTTTGGCTCAGAACGTGATCCCAGAGTTCTGGGATCGTGTCCCGCACTGGGTACTGCATGGAGCCTGCTTCTCCCTCTGCCTGTGTCTCCGCCTCTCTTTGTGTGTCTCTCATAATTAAATAAATAAAATCTTAAAAAAAAAAAAAAAAAAAAGATCTGTGCCCTTGGCCAGACCACAGACCTCTTCTGTGCAGCTTCCTCTCAAATGATTCCAATATAAAAGACTCGTCTGAACGGGTCCCTGAAGGACCCATACCCCAAAAGGCTACATTCCCTTCTTGGACTTTTAACAGCTCTTTTTTTTTTTTAAGATTTATTTATTTATGATAGACACAGAGAGAGAGGCAGAGACACAGGAGGAGGGAGAAGCAGGCTCCATGCCAGGAGCCCTACGTGGGACTCGATCCCGGGACTCCAGGATCGGCGCTAAACCGCTGAGCCACCCAGGGATCCCCCTTTTTTTTTAACAGCTCCTTTTTTTTTTTTTTTTTTTTTTTACCTTCTTGGACTTTTCACACCTTCTGTCACCACTATGCTCACACTTCATCCCTCCACTGACTCCCCCTACCTTCTACCTCACAATGTAACTGGAAGCCAATCACTAAGGACTTCATGGACTTCATGAGTTCTCTCCACCAACAGCTGCATACAACTCCCTTCCATGAACTCAGCCTCTATCTACAGAAGGGACTGGCCTCCTGTCTAAAGCCAGCCAACCTTCCTCTTGCTCCTTCTCAGCCTATCACCTCCTGCTATTCTACAGATGAAAATCAATACTGCCATGACATCCTGCAGGCCCCATGTGGCTTGGCTCCTGCCACCTTTCCAGCTTACTCTCCTCTCTTCCTCTCCAGGCCACACCAGTCCTCCTCCAGGTTATGATGGATGAAATATTCCCTCCTGCTGCAGGGCCTTTACACATGCAGTTTCCTTTGCCGGCCCAACTCTTCTCTCTGCACAGCCCTTTCCCACTCTCAAAAATGAACCCCCAGGGTACCTGGGTAGCTCTGTTGGTGAAGCATCTGCTTTGGGCTCAGGTCATGATCCCAGGGTCCTAGGACTGAGTCCCAAGTCAGGCTCCCTGCTCAGCAGAGAGTGCTTCTCCCTCCCCCTCTGCCCCCCACCGTGCTTGTGCTCTCTCTTTTTCTCTTTCAAATAAATAAAATCTTCATTTTTTTAAAAGATTTTATTTATTTATTCATGACACAGAGAGAGAGAGAGAGAGAAAGAGGCAGAGACACAGGCAGAGGGGGAAGCAAGCTCCCTGCAGGGAGCCCGATGTGGGACTGGATCCCAGGACTCCAGGATCACGCCCTGGGCTGAAGGCAGGCGCTAAACTGCTGAGCAGTTTAGTCAGGCATCCCAAAATCTTCATTTTTTAAAAAAGATATATTTATTGGGACACCTGAGTGGCTCAATGGTTGAGCGTCTCAACCATTGGCTAAGGGCATGATCCCAGACTCCTGGGATTGAGTCCCACATCGGGTTCCTTGCATGGAGCCTGCTTCTCCTCCCTCTGCCTGTGTCTCTGCCTCTCTTTCTGTGTCTATCATGAATAAATAAATAAAATCTTTAAAAAAAAAAGATATTTAACAGAGAAAAGGACATGTGAGCTCCTTGCATGGAGCCTGCTTCTCCCTCTGCCTGGGTCTCTGCCTCTGTGTCTCTCATGAATCAATAAATAAAACCTTAAAAAAAAAAAAGAATAAATCTCCTGATGGTTAACTCTATTTATTTGCGAGACAGAGACAGCCCGAGAGAGCATGAGCAGGGAGGAGAGGGAGAAGCAGACACCTAACTGAGCAGGGAGCTGAATGTGGGGCTCAATCCCAAGACCCTGCGATCAGGAGCTGAAGGCCCATGCTTCAGGGACAGAACCACCCAGGGGCCCCTTAATGATGGTTAACTCTAAACCACTGTCCATCTTCACGGACACAGTGTGTGACAGCCATTATTATTTCCATTTTACAAATGGAAACTGAGGCCCAGAGCGGGTAATCCAACAGGGTGCAATCTGGCATTTCCCCAGTTTCTGTTTTGACTCTAACATCCCACGTGCAGGTGAAGTAACTGAGCTCGGAGAGGTTAAGCTACTTGTCCAAGGCCAGGGTTTGGCGTGACCGGGGAGGCCTGCAGCGGGCAGGAGGGCAGCGCTGGGCCTCCCGTGCCAGGGCCTGTCAGCGACCCCGTGGGCCCCCGGTACCTTGTTGGCCAACTTTTTGTTCAGCTCCTCGGCAATGGAGTCGTTGAGCTTCCTCTCAAACTGCCACGGGGGGATCCGCACGGTGTCCACCATCTCCACCAGGACGAACATCGCGCCTGCGCCGGGGCCCTGGGGGCGGGAGGCTCAGTCACGCGCCGTGTGGGGCGGCGGGCATTCCCGAACCCCCTCGGGCCCGTCCCCACCGCTGAGCGCCCCCCACGCACACACCCAGGCCCGCGGAGGGGCTGCGCGGTGCGGCGCCGGGTACCGCGTGCGGGGCGTGCGCAGCCTCTGCAAACTGAGGAAACTGAGGCTCAGCAGGAGACGCCCTCGCTCCAGCGAGAGAGCGCGAGCACCCGCCGCACGACCCGGTCCCGCCACGCGCCACGCGCCGCCACGCACCGCGCTCCCACGCGCAGCCGACTTCGGGCGAGATTCCGAATCCCGTCGCTTCCGGAGAACAGACCAATAAGAAGCCTCTGCCCGCCCCCCAACGCGACGCGACGCGACGCGACGTAGGGCGGGGCCTCCCCGTGGGCCCCCGCGGAGCCGGCCGCCCTTCGACCGCGCTTCCTGGTTGCTAGGCAACGTGGGCGCGATCCCGACCTCACCTGCCCCGTGGGGCTGTCGCTCTTCCTCCGGGTCCCGGGCGGGGCGGGGCGCGGCGCCCGGCCAGAGGGATCCTCTCAAAAGCCGGCACAGTTTGCTTAGACCCCTTCAGGACTCTGGAAGCGGGAGATTTATCTGGAAAGGAGCAGGCGGGACCTTTCTGGGGTGATAGGAATGTTCCCTATCTTCTTCTAGAGGGGTGGGTTACACAGGTGGGGGCCTGGCAGTCAGTAGGGCATGCAGCTCTCGTTAACAGGGTTGTGAGTTCAAGCCCTACATTGGGCATAGAGGTTACTTAAAAATAAAATCTTAAAAAAAAAACGCATCAAACTTGACAGTTAAGATCGTTGCACTTAAGTAGGCAGATTACATCTCAATTGAAAAATGATCATTGGGGATCCCTGTGTGGCTCAGTGGTGGCTTGGCGGTTTAGCGCCTGCCTTGGGCCGGCCGAGGGCGTGATCCTGGGCTCTGCGGATCGAGTCCCGCATGGGGCTCCCTGCCTGTACGCCTGCTTCTCCTGCCTGTGTCTCTGCCTCTATTTCTCTCTGTGTTTCTCATGAATATATAAATAAATAATCTTTAAAAAAAGAAAGAAAAGAAAAGTGATCATGAATTGGGACCAAAAAACAACCCCAGTACCTTCCCACTAAATTAATAATAAAGTCTGAAACTTTGAAGCACCTGGCTGGCTCAGTCCATGGAGTGTGGGATGATCTCCAGGTTGTGGATTCGAGCCACACTTTGGGCGTAGAAATTACTTAAATAAATTGAGGCTCCTGGGTGGCTCAGTCAGTTAAGCATCTGACTTCAGCTCAGGTTATGATCTCAGGGTCCTGGGAAAGAGCTTCGTGTTGGGCTCCCTGCTCAACACGAGCAGTGTGAAGTCGGCTTCTCCCTCTCCTTCTCCCCCACCCCTCCTCCCTGCTCGTGTGCTCTCTCTAATAACAAATAAATATCTTTTTTTAAGATTTTATTTATTTATTCATGAGAGATACACAGAGAGAGGCAGAGACACAGACAGAGGACAAGCAGGCTCCATGCAGGGGGCCCAATGCAGGACTCCATTCCAGGACTTGGGGATCACGACCTGAGCTGAAGGCAAACGCTCAACCACTGAGTCACTCAGGTGCCCCAATAAATAAATATCTTAATAATAAATAAATCCAGGGATCCCTGGGTGGCTCAGCGGTTTGGCGCCTGCCTTTGGCCCAGGGCCCGGTCCTGGAATCCGGGATCGAGTGCCGCTCATCGGGCTCCCTGCATGGAGCCTGCTTCTCCCTCTGCCTGTGTCTCTGCCTCTCTGTGTGTGTGTGTCTATCATGAATAAATAAATAAATCTTTAAAAAATAATAATAAATAAGTCCAAAACCTTTATGGTAGCTCGCAAGGCCCTGAAAGATCTTGCCTCTACCCACACCACCCATACCCTTACTCACAGCCTCATTTTGTTCTCTCTCCTTGCCATTCCTCACTCATCTTCATATGATAAGTAACATGGGCTTGGGCTAAGACAATTTAGTAGCTTGTCCAAGGTCACGGGGCTGCTAAGTATTAGCAGCGCGCTCCTCTAAGCCTCTACAGTGCCTCCAAAAGTTGGTGGGCTGTGGAAATGTACTGTAGTGTATTTAAACCAAATAAAAATTTGAGAACTTAAAAAAAGCCTTGAGAGGCATTCAGAAATGCATGGTGCTTCACTTTGCAGATTTTACACGTGTAGAGATATCTATGTAAGGCTGGCTGCAGTGATACTTAATTTGGCCTTCTTTGCATCCATATTTTTATTTTTAGGTCTGTCTGCCTCTCCTAGGATTTGAGCTACTTGAAGACAGGGGGAAATGCTACTTCAGCTCTTTATTCCCATGATGCCCTAATATCATTTCTAGGAGGCATTCAGGAAAAGTATTTAGGAGATGATATTAAGTCCTCAATCTCTCAAACCTCCCTCTTCCTTGCATTCCCACTGCTGCTGCCCTGATTCAGGCCATCCCATTGCTCCCCTGGAGTTTAGCCACACACCCCAGCTCCTGGCCTCAGTGTCTCCTGTGACTTCCACACTCTCACAAGAACCTTCCCTTCATGAATATCCTCTGCCCAACAGAAAGGTCTGGATTGAACTCAGCCCTTCTCTCCAGTCTTACCTCTCTTCTGTTCTCCAAACACTGGGACGGAGCAAGTTCTTTTAGTCTTGCCTCAAACGCTTCTTTACCAGGAAAACTCCTACTCATCCCTCAGAACCCAAACACATTACCTATCTCTTTCATTCACTCAACATACTGTGTGTCCAGCTTTGGAGATCCAGTGGGGAAGAAGAACTGGGCCCTGGGTCCAGCTTCAGCTCAGAAGGGTTGCAGGGAAGAGGGAGAGAGAGATGGAATTTGATTGTCTCAGGGAATTAAAAAAGTACTTCAGCTGATTTATAGGGAGATAAGAACCAGTGAGTTTGGGGACCTCAACAGGGTCTGGATCACAAGGACCTTCTCAATATAATATTCATTAACTTTCAATCCTCACAACAGCTCTATAGTAGGGACTATCATTATCATTATCTGATTTATCTCATTCTCATTTATTCTCATTTATCTCATCCTCTCCTTTTGCCTCATCTAAAGCAGAGAGAGGTTAAGTAGGTCGTTCAAGGTCACACAGGTAATGAGTCGCAGAGCTGGGATTCAGGCTCCAGAGCCCATGATCCTAACCACTGGGTTGTGCCAAGATGTTAGCCCAAAGACAGCAAAGGGAAGCCTTAGATGGTTAGAACAGGGAAATGACCCAGTGACACATTCGCAGGATGGGCAGTGGGTGGGAAAGGGCTGGGGTGGAAACAAGAGGACCAGTGAGGAAGTTCTTGGGTGGCTCCTCTAAGAGATGGCCTGAGTAAGACTGGTAGCCATGGACAGCGAAGTTGGGCAGAGTCCAGAGGTCCCTGGGGGGTGGTCTCAGTGATAGGGTGGGTGACCTAGGGCCGGAAGTAGGAGGAGCCAGGGCAGGAGGGCTTGCTTCAGGCTGGGTGGTGGCCTGGGTGGCTGGCTGGGTGGTGGGCCTTTCATTCAGATGGGAAATTGGAGGAGGGCCAGACTGAGGGGATGGGGCCAGCCATTGCAAAGCTAGTGCTTTGAGTTCCCAGGCTTCTTGTATGGTATTCAGCTCACACGATTGCAACAGTGATTTGTTGGCACGTTTGGTTTCCTCATTAGGAAAAACAGGGACCGGGCTTCTTTATTAATTCTCTGCGTTGTTCCATGGAATATTTGAGGTAGCTTACAAAAACACACAAAAGACAGTTTGTAAGCTTCTCGACCGGCGGCGAAGGACTCCTCTGTCATGGTCCCTCCACATCCTCCGCGCCTAGCCCTGTGTCTGGCACACGGTCAGGGCTTGTAAATATGTATTATTTGAATGAACAAAAGGAGAGCAAAATAATTGCTAAGTGTAGGAGTGAGGGAGGAACAGGGTTGGAAGCTAATCCAGGAGGAGGAGGAGAGTCCAGTGAGTGGTTAAGGGCAGGGAGTTCCCACGCCACAGCCACCGCAGAGAAGCCCATGAACCTCTCAGCGCCTCAGCTATCTCTCTGTAAATAGAGATAATAATAGAACAGATCTCTGATGATTGCCCATTATGGGCGACTGGATAAAAAATATATATGGTGTATCATAGAACAGAATAATGTGAAGCCATAAAAAAAAAAAGGATGAGAATGTTCTTTGTGTATTGATATGGAATGATATTCAGGATACATTAAGTATAAAAATGCAAGGCACAGCACAGTGTGTATGGGATGTTACCACTGTGGGAAAAGGGGGAAAATAATATTGTGTGTGTGTGTGCGTGTGCATGCGTGCATGCTCTAGAAGGGCTGACAAGCATCTGATGACATGGATGGACTGCAGGGTGAGGCACTGAATGGCTGAGGGCGTGGGAGAGGGAAAGGAGGGAGATTTGTACCAAACGCCCTCTGGAATCTTTGATAATTAGGATCATGAGAATATATTACCTATTCAAAATTTAAATTTAAATTATAAAAATCAATTAAGATTTTTTACATCTTAAAAACACCCCCCTCTCTCAGCCCTCCAGCGAGTGCCCCAATTTCTGCTCCCTTTACCGTCAAAACTTGAAGGTGCTATGGGCGCCTGCGGTCTCCAAGTGCCCTCTTCTTGTCCTCTCTTCCACCTGTTGCATTGAGGTTCTGGCTCCACCACGCAACCCACGCTTTCTGCAGGTCACCGACGACCTCCGTGTTGCCAAATGCAGCACTCATGCTCAGTGCTCAGCAGCAGCTGGCCCTTCTGCATTCTTTCCTCACCCCTTCTACCTGGCTCCCAGGGGCCCCCACCCTCCCCACCCCTCCAGGGCCTTCCTCCCATCTCTAGATGTTGGCGGGCCCAGGCCCACTTTGTGCCATCCCCATGCTCCCTGGTGATCTCATGTGGCCTCGGGCTGTGACCAGCATCCTGCCACCAAGGCTGCCTTGTGGCCATCTCCCCAGATTCCTGTGTCCTCCTGCCTGTTCTGAGGCTCTGTTCAGCAACTCAAGTTTAATCTGGGCCAGAGCGGAACTCCTGGTGGTGAGTCACCTGTCAACCTGCTCCTGCCACCATCTTCCCATCTTAGAGAATGACTTCCTCTGGTCTCGGGCTGCTCAGGCCCAAACCTGGAGATTATGCTTGCCTCTGCACCTGTGAACGCAAACTGATGCAACTCCTGATCTTGGGGTTGTGAGTTCGAGTCCCATGTTGGGTGCAGAGATTACTTAAAAATAAACTCTTAGGGATCCCTGGGTGGC